GTGTGTGTGTGTGTGTGTGTGTGTGTGTGTGTGTGTGTGCATGTGTGTGTGTGTGTAAAACGATGGATCTTATCAGATAAACCAAACTCACTGCCATCAAGATGTTTCTGACTCATCGTAGCCCCTATGGGACAAAGTAGAACTGTCCCGGTGGGTTTCTCAGACAGTAATTTTTTATGGAAATAGAAAGCCTCATCTTTTTTCCCTTGGAGCAGCTGGTGGTTTTAAACAGCTGACCTTGCAGTTATCCATCCAGTGCACAACTCACTCTGCCACCAGGGCTCAACATCTTGTATAATCTGTATACCTATCTCATCGTCAAAAGCCATGTAGCAACATCCTCAGTCTGGAATACCTGTGAAGAGTTAGTAAGGGCCCAGGGAGAATGCTGTAGGGCTCACGGGCATCACAGAGACCTGTGTTTTAATTTACTTCCTCTCCCTTCGTGCCCCTGGGTTCTTGTTTTCTATTTGATAGTAGACTGAGAACAGGACTGGAAGAACTATAAGATTGAATCACAAAATATTGTTACAAAACCCTAGAAACCATTACTAAATAAAAGCATGAAAAAGTGAAGTTGTTTTTCTCAGTACATCCCCCGTGTAGATCTATGTGCTTTTGAATGTTTTGCTTCCGTATTTCTCTTCCCTCCCTGGTAATTCTGCATTCTGTAACTCACTCCTCGGGAAGATGGCCATTTGGGCATCCTTGAGCGACTCAGATTTTGTTCCTTCTGAATGAGGTTTGCTTTTGGGTCGCAAAAGAAGACGGAAGGGACAAAAATAGGGCTGTGGGGTGAAGAGGGTAAGATTTTCAATGAATGGAAACTCTTTTAAATTTATTATTATTTGGGAGTTAATACACATATCATATTACTCCATAGTTCAATCACATCAAGCAGAATTATACAATTGCTACCACAATCAGTTTCCAAACATTCTTTTTCTTTCTGGACTCCTTGACATCATTTTCCTTTTACCCACCCCCCGACTCCCACCCCCGACTTCTTGAAGGACAGTCCCTGTTCCCCTGGAGAATAAGCAGGTATATTGTTGTGATGAAGAAAAAAAATACTCAGCACAATTTCTCGTATGCTTTCTCATCAGTGCAATTTTCAATTGTTTTGAAACGTCTTCCTAATAAGCCCTGTGGTCTTCCCATATCCTTGGAGAAAATCTACCCCTTTGGAATCTCAAAAATAGTCATCATAATATTCCAAGCTTACCTCTCAAACTTGAATGTAACTGGCCCAGCAGCTCCCCTTTGACGTAATCGCTTCGGTTAGCTTTTTAAAAAGGCATCCTAATGACACTAAGACTAAATATTTGGCTGCAGCCATCCACTGCTCTCAGAGGCAGGATTAAACACATTTGGTTTGGAATAAACCTGCCTCTATATGAACTAGAACCATAGAAATGATATTATTGACTTATTCTCATATTAAAGGGGTATACATTGGTTTTATTTATTAAGGATAGTTTGATTTGAATATATAGGATCAATGTAAACATTAGGAAAACTGTAGCTCTTAATAGATCAAGTGTTAAACTCTGCTCTACCTCCCGTGAAAGAAAACAGCAACAACAACGAAATGTTATGCTTACTCAGGAACAATATAGATTATTGGTTCCAAATCAGTGCATTAACAAGGATGTGCTTAGCTATTATTATAGAGTAAAAGCTTGTTTCAAAAATGACTAGGAAGCTTTATTTTGAAAAGGCTAAATTACATATGTTACCTCCTGTAAGAGAACAGAGAAAAAAAACCAATTATGTTAAAAAGGTGTTTATCCACATTAATTAAAATCAGAAAATTTTAAAATCAGAAGTCTAAACCTGATAGTTCCCATCGGGCTGCTGGCTGCATGGTCAGCTGTTGGAAACAGCTCCAGTGGGGAAGGAGGAGGATGTTGACTCCCATCAAGTGTTACCGTCTCAGAAACCCACAGAGCGGGACTGCAGTCCCACTGCCCCATCCTGGAGGACTGCTTTGAGTCGGAATCAAGTTGATGGCAGTGTGTGAATGAGACTAACAATTTAAGATCTAATTTAGGGGCTGATGAAAAATTTTCTCCTACAATTCTTATCATTATGATTTCTAATGTCTTACTTCATGCTACTTCAAGATTGTATTGCTTTACAAACAAGAATGGTCCTCTCGCTAAAGGAAAAAAAATAAGGTGGGGGGAGACAAGGGCATTGCGGGGAACAGGGCACTAATCCACCATGGGGAAGGTACTGTTTATGTCGCCACAGGAAAGAGAGAGGGACCAGGCCTCATCTTCGCACACCAAGCCTTGAGAACAACATACTGGCCTGAGTCAGCGAACTAACAGAGAGGTATGCGGGGGCCAGCCCTATCCAGCTTCGTCAACCCCCCTCCCCAGAAGAATGCATGACAGAGGACAGCACTGAAGATACAGCCATGGAGAATGGCAGGTCTGCCCAGCCTGCACGCGAGCAAACTAAGAGGGAAAAAGAGAGAAAGAGTGGACAGCATCCTGGCCCATCAAGCTTCGAGGACTACATTTCCTCTTGTAGCAGCCAATCCCCACAGAGGACCATGTGGTCGGCCCCACCATGAGACACGATGTCCCCTTCCTGACCCTCAGTGCTACGGGG